CTGGAACAAAGAGAAAACGGGGCCGTTTTAGGGATCAGTTATCAGTTCACGGATTATTGCCACGGGGGGAGAGAAGATCGGTGGATTCAGGTTATAGGTTATGTATGACACGCTGACTTTCCGTAACTGACTTTCCAGGATATTCATCGATCTTTTATTCTAGATTATTCTAATTATTCTAAATTATATCGTGTCAATATTTGTCGAAGAGAAATGGAAAAAGTTTTCGTGAAGTTTTGATATAATTTGTAAGAGTAAAGAGGAATTCGATTTTCGAGGTTGCTGTAATATCGTGTTTATTTGGTTTACGTTTTAACTGATTCGAATAGAATTATATAGTGCACAGTTTACGAGTTGATAATCTTTTCGATTATCAAGAAATTTGAACGAGAAATGGTATTTATTAATTTTACGTTACATTCACGTTGCTATTGCGTGAAGAAAACGCATAGATTTCACGATAATCGAAATAATTTCGGGGAAAGAGATCAGTGGATTTAGGTTAGGTTATGTATGACACGCTGACTTTCCAGGATCGTTTCGAGGATATTATTTATTATTTATATTTTAAATTATATTATGGGAATATTAATCGAAGAGACAGTGGAAAACATTTTCGTGTAACGAAGTTTTGATATAATTTGTGAGAGTAAAGAGGAATTTCGAGGTTGCTGTAATATCGTGTATATTACGTTTTAACGTAACTGATTCGAATAGAATTATATAGTGCAGTTTACGAGTTGATAATCTTTTCGATTATCAAGAAATTTGAACGAGAAATGGTATTTATTAATTTTACGTTACATTCGTTGCTATTGCGTGGAGAAAACGGATAGATTTCACGATAATCGAAATAATTTCGATTTAGAACTTGGACTTTGAAGTTTCGCAGTTTTGAGAGGAAGAAAAAAAACAAAGGAACGTAATATCTTTCGAAACGGAATGACGCGTGTTCGCCAGAGGATCGCCAAGTATGTTGCTCTTAAAATGCATGCGCGTTTCTCTTGGAAGCCGGAAAATTAATTTTCACGGAATAATCGCGGGCAAAGTGGAACGCGCAGCCAAACGATCTAAACGATCCTGACAAATCCGTCGCGAATTTGATTAATTTAATACGATTTCTCCTGATATCTATTGAAACTCGAATTTTTCCAAAACGAGAGAAGAAAAAAAGGACAGAAATCTGACAGTTTCTGCTTAAATTTATGTAAGAAAAAATTCAAGGAAAAATTTCGAGGATTCTTTAATAACGTTCTCAAAGTGAAAACACACGTGATACGATTAAAAAAAGAAATTGAATGTTTCTTTTAATGGATCTATATCGCGATTAAACGTCTGCATGCAATTATGGTACAAAAAAAAAATCAAGCGATAAATTTTCGTTCTTATTTTCCCCTATAACACGTTCCAATAATTCTCATGATATGCAATTTGTACGACCTGTTATTACACAAAAATAAATTAGTTTTCGATAAACTTAAGCGAGTTAATCGAATATTATATTTCTCGTCATTTTTACAAAGGAATAAAAAAAAAAAAATATATCTTCATCATCCCTCTTCTCAAGAAAGGAAGCATTTAACAATTTTTAGAACGCGATCTTTTTAAAAAAAAAAAAAAAGAAATATATTTTTATCCCTCTCCTCAAGAAAGGAAGCATTTAACAATTTTTAGAACGCGATCTTTTTAAAAAAAAAAAAAAAGAAATATATTTTTATCCCTCTCCTCAAGAAAGGAAGCATTTAACAATTTTTAGAACGCGATCCTTTCAAAAAAGAAATATATCTTCATCCCTCTTTTCAAGAAAGAAAGCATTTAACAATTTTTAGAACGCGATCTTTAAAAAAAAAAAAGAAATATATTTTTATCCCTCTCTTCAAAAAAGAAAGCATTTAACAATTTTTAGAACGCGATCCTTAAAAAAAAAAAAGAAATATATTTTTATCCCTCTCCTCAAGAAAGGAAGCATTTAACAATTTTTAGAACGCGATCCTTAAAAAAAAAAAAGAAATATATTTTTATCCCTCTCCTCAAGAAAGGAAGCATTTAACAATTTTTAAAACACGATCTTTTCAAAAAAAGAAAAGAAATACATATCTTCATCCCTCTCCTCAAGAAAGGAAGCATTTAACAATTTTTAGAACGCGATTCTTTCAAAAAAGGAATATATCTTCATTCCTCTCCTCAAGAAAGAAAACATTTAACAATTTTTAAAACATGATTCTTTCAAAAAAAAAAAAAAAGGAATATATCTTCATCCCTCTCCTCAAGAAAGGAAGCATTTAACAATTTTTAAAATACGATCCTTTCAAAAAAAAAAAAAAGAAATATATTTTCATCCCTCCCCTCAAGAAAGAAAATTTAACAATTTTTAAAACACGATCCTTTCCAAAAAAAAAAAGGAATATATTTTCATCCCCCCCCTCAAGAAAGGAAGCAAAAAAAAAAAAAAAAACGCGCGTAATCGCATATAAAATTTCTTTCCCTCGCCCGAAGATGGAGGAAGGAAGAATCCGATCGACGACGATCTCGCTGTAATAATAATAACAATAACAATAACGTGTGTTCGGGGGCTGCATTAGAAGCGTCGACCGGCGTCCAGCCAGCCCATAAATAGAAGGGTAAATACCCTATAAATCAGCGGCTGTGGCCTCGATCGAGCGGGCAAAAGGAAAAGCGGGGCTCAGTTTTCGTGCTCGACGGCCCTGAACGCGTCAGAGGAAAGCGTACAGAGACGGGCGTGCAACCGAGGGTTTCACGGTATTTTTAATTTCACCCTCTGTGCGATCGTGGTGCGAGGCGCCCGTGCGCACGCGCGCCCGTGTCGTGCAGGAATCGCGTTGTTTGCGCGTTGCTTGTGGTTGTGGTGCGGCTGCGGCGGCGACTACTTCACCGCGGCGAGAAGATGAGGGACAAAGAGGAGAGGAGCTCGACGCATCGACCTCTTACGCATGCGAACACACCGTGCCGCAGAGACAGACGGACAGACAATGCACCTCTTCCCTCGACCTACGTCAATGCTGCGAGATTAAACTGGCACAGTGGCGCCCTCCCCCCACCCGCCTCTTCGATCTCTGTGCCCAAACTCGGGGACTCGGCTGTGGTAATCCCTCCCCCCCTCCTCCATAGTCCAGACTACGCATGTGAATTATTTTAAGATCCAGTAATTGAGAAAGAGAAGGATTACAAGAAGAAGGATGTATGTTGTGGGATCAAAGATTTTCGGGACGAATTCATGGTCGAATTCGTGGACAAGTTTGATATGGATAAGAAATTATTTGTTTGTTTTTAGATATATGGAATTTAGAGATATCTGTATGGGTTATTTTAAAATGGTTATAGTTAGATAATAGTCGGGTAATAAGAATTGGATAGAATGTCCAGGATCAAGGTTTAAAATTATAGGAATGAGTATAGTGGATAGCGGATCTGTTATTTTAGAAGTATATAGATATTACGGGGAATTTTAGAGGAGCGCGAACTCAGATTTAAATTTTCGAGAGAGGAGAGAGTTGCGAGAGTTTCTCGGATGGCCAAGGAATGTCTACTGTTCCGCGAGAAATTCGCGTATTTCGATCCACCACGAGTGCTTCTCTCTCCTTCCTCGTCCATTCTAGATCGAATCTATGGCGGAGGATGAACCTTGGGGATAAGCGACCTTTTTTGAAATTATTGCGAAAGATAGATCGCGGAGATCCCGAGTACAAAAGCGAGCGACGACGAAACGGAGAGACAGATAGATCCCGAATATCGACGATGGCAATTCGCACACAATGGCCGGATAAATTACGAAACGTTTATCAAAGATCGAGATGAGATCTAGAATTTAAAAAGAAAGGGAAAAGAAAGAAAAAAAGAAGAACGAATTCGTTTTTCTTCGCCATTGTCTCTCTCTGGCAAAAGAGAATCCTTTTCACCCTTTCCGAGAAAAGAACAGCTTTATATTATTGCATCATGCTCGAATATTTCTTTCCTTTTTCTTTTTAAGAAACCGTATGCAAAGTATCCTGTTGCACCGAATTGTTATTTTTGCATACGTAAAAAAAAAAAAAAAAAAAAAGAGAACCCCGCATTTTCGCTGCTAACGTTAAATAAATTCCGTAATATCGCGTTTCAAAAAATAAAAAAAAAACAGAAAAGTTAAATGATACACTCTTATTCGCTATATATATACATAAAGATCATATTTCTGATAAAAAGTATCTTATCTTTTCAGCAAATAAAAAAAATGTCGATGACCTTTCGTAACAGAGTTGCTTCTCTTATTTTATTCACTCTAAAAGATACAAAAGATACGCCATATATATCTCCATATAATGCTACACGTGAATCGTGCAAATTAAAAAAAGTTACTTTTACCATTTCTACTATTTTTTATCCACTAATAAATAATATTTTATCCACCCCCCTGATATCGCCACGCTCGATAGAAAATTCAAAAAAAAATTTTATATCCCAAGTGAAAATAATCCCTAAACCTCTAGAACGCGCCGCGCGGCGTATTTACGGAATTAAGACGCGTTCCCAAAGCGATCCCGTTTGCACGGTACTCGACGCGATTGCATCGTGCCACGAGGCGCGCGCACAGTGGACACCGTATGCAAATGAAAACGAAAATGGAAGGCGTCTACGCACTTCCGGACAGATGTTAAGGCTCACGCGCATTGTCCTCCCCTCCCCCTCCCCTATTACTCTCCTTCCTGCTTTCTTTCCTCCCCCGATCTCTCTTCTTCCCCCTCCTCCTCCTCGCCCATTGTCCTTCGAGCGCCCGGCCAAGCAAAGAGAGAGAGAGAGAGAGGAGACCAGCAATTGAGAGACCTCGATAATGTTATACTACTGCGCCTGGCCAATGTCACACTTGCGCCCCGATGGAACGCAATTTCCTTGCACGAAAGCCAAGGAATACGAAGCCAGGCAACGACCTGCTACGAAATTTATTTCGTTTCGTAACAAATGGTGGAATACGTGGAACGTGACTATTTGTGATCATTAAAACCGGT